TATGTGTATTTCTGTATGAGCTCATGAGTGTGTGCACTGTGTATGTAAGTGCATATGTGTATATCTATGTGTATATGTGTACCTAAGAGTGTTGTGGGTGTGGGTGAGTGTGGAGGTGTGGGCATGGGGAGTGGGTATGATGTGTGTGTAATATGAGATACAGAGACAAATGTAGAAGACACTCTGAGGAAGAAAAGATAGCTGGAAAGGGAAGGGGAAATGGGAAAAGTTAGCAATCATGGTAAAACATATGGTATTCTGGGAAAACATTGCTTTTAAGACAATTGTGTATAATGAATTACATCAATAAAAGATATTAAGGGGCAGCAAGATGGATCACGTGTCAAAGACACTTGCAACCAAGTATGATGCAAAACCTGAGTTTGAGCCCCAGAACCCACATGATAAAGGGACAGTCAAATCCTGAATTTCCTCTGCCCTCACAGCTATGCAATGTCACATGTGCACATAGAAACATGCTCATGCATATACACAGATACACAAATGCACATTCACATGGACACAGAAAAAGGAACTTCATTAATTAAAATATAATAAGAGCAAAAGAAGGAACAGAAGAAATGGTCACCAGTAAGTGAGTAAGAAGCTCTCCAGAATCTAGAAAAAGCAGGGAACATGCCTTCCTGAAGCTTCTGAAATGAGATACAGTTTGCTATCATTATCACTTTAGCCAAATGAGTATTATGAAGGATACTAGAACCCCAGAACTTTAAAAAGATAAATTCATCGTATTAAAACAGCAGAGTTTGTGGTAACTGAGCTCTCCATTGCATTTTCATAAAAAGGTTTTTCATACCAAAAGACATAAGAGACATTGAACCCCTTATAATTTGATGATTCTGCAAATTTTTTCATCAGTGTTTCAGTCACCCCGGCTCTCAGGAAGAAGGGAGAAGTGTGTAGGTTGGGGCTGTGCATGCTGCATGCAGCTGGTGAGACTCTCAGAGGAGGTTTTTGGTGGAGACTGAAGCACTGTGGGAGGAAAGCTATACCACTGCTGACAGTAATAATCTGCCAGGTCTTCATCCTGGACACTGCTGATGGTGAGAGTGAAATCTGTCCCAGATCCACTGCCTATGAAGCGATCAGGGACCCCAGTATGCCTAGTGGATGCATGGTAGATCAGCAGTTTAGGAGACTGCCCTGGTTTCTGCAGGTACCAGTTCAAGTAGTTCTTTTTGGTGTTACTGCTGAAAAGACTCTGACTGGACTTGCAGCTGATAGTGGCCTTCTCTCCTGCTGACACAGTCAGGGAGGGTGGAGACTGGGTCATCACAATATCTGCACAGGCACCTGCAAACAGGAATACATAATTAAGATGAATAATATGGAAAAAAGAGGAGTCAAAGTTGAAATTTGTCATTTAATATCCTTATAATGTCATATTGTCAGAGTGTATATCTTACACAATAGTGTAAAAATATTAAGCCTTGAAACACATTGTAAATTTCTTACATACAAACAAGTAACCTTAAAAAGATTGTAAAACTTTGAAATTTCTCACCAGACACCCAAAGGAACAAGGACATGAAGACATGAATATGTGATTCCATCTTGCTCCTACTCCCGGTCTAATGTAGCTCAGTTCTCACTACAAAGTCCTGGTTTATAAATTCAAAGCATCTGGGCTTATTTGGGGATGCCCATGCAAAGCAGTTAACAAATACATAGGAAATGTCTGTACAATGCGTGTGAGTGGCTGGTGTCCTTCAGCAGGCAAAAATGTCATCACAGGGAG